CGTTCCCTTGCCATAAGCCACTCAGACAGGGATCTGGTTTCATGGTCAATTTTATTACACATGGATGTAAGGGGCTCCTACAATTAGGGAGGGCTTCTTAACAGGGTCTTGCTTATCCGCCTGCTTGTTAACCTGCTAGCTTGAACATTTCGTTTTCCCATTTTACATTCCTTCCCAACCTCCCCATTTCTCCCCGTGTCCAGTACCTTCTATTCCAATTCAGCGTCTCTAACTCAAGCCCGCTTTGTCCACCACCATCTCTTCTCTCTTCCAGCACCGGCCACCTTTCCTTTCTTCTTTGCTTTATGGCTCACATATGAGCTGTTAAGTTCTGAGTGTACCTCCCTGTTCCGTAACCATCTGGGATCTGCTCTTCAGAACCCCTCCGGCCCTTTGAGGAGATCCAGTTTCCACGAACCTACACCCGCACCTCCCTCTTTCCTCACGTACATACACAAACACCTCCCTGTGGACCCCCTCGTCATCTTTGAGATTCCTCCCTCCTTGCCTTCCATTGTCCATGTTTTTGAAGGTACGTCTGTGGATTGCGTGAAGGTTGGATGTTCTGCCAAAGTAAATCCAGGAGGTATAGTGGCTCCTACTAATGTAGGGTACATGATGTCATTGGTTAGATCATGGACAAGGCTCGAAGGGCACACATGGACATTTGTAGCAATTTGTCTCCTCTCTCTCATTCTCCCCTCCGGTGCGAGTTTATCTCCTGGCGGAGGGCCTCTTCCGCTTGGAGAGTGGCAACTGTATAACACCCCTCACCTGTTTTCAAAACAAAAACATGAGCTTGAGCATTTTTGAAAATCATCTCCTTGTTTTCATTCTCAGTAAGTTAGAGCGGGTCAGCCTGAGGGGGAGGTAGAGGGAACTCTGCATAGTGATGTTTAAGTAACTCTGGCATGTTTTAGGAAAATTGTGGCAGATTTGCTGTATTGCCTCATAAATCATTTTATTAACCCTGAGAACGTTCCTCAGTTTGACTGAATGAAAAATTATACACTTTTTTTCCTGACTGTGGAACCCAAACGGAGATGCTTGGAAGAATATTCACGTCCCTTTTTTCCATACTTGCTGTCAAGTTTGAAAAAACCCAACAAAATTAAACCAAATACTATAATACAAGTCTCCTGAAATTATTCAATAACTTTGTGTAAATAAAAAAGACTGAAATCAAAAAGCAGTTCACCATAAAATCAAGTATGACTTACTTTCTTCTATGGAACACAAAAAAAGCATTTCTTGAAAAATGTCTTGTTTTTGGGGTTTTGAACCCTATTGACTTTCATTGTGTGGACAAACATCCATCAAAATATCTTCTTTTGTGTTCTGCAGAAGAAAAAAAGTCATACAGCTTTGGAACGCCATGAGGGTGAGTAAATGTTTTGGGTGAACTATTCCTTGAGTCAGTCACAATGTCAGAAACAAGATTGCGCCCCAGTGCACATATACACACACTTGTTCGATTGTACAGACCTATGAGCAAAGATTTCCCCAGTGCAGTTCAATAAACATTTTATGAGTCCCTGCGCCCCACTAAACTCGGTCGGAATCGAAAACCACTTCACTCGTGAGCCGGCAAATAAGCAAATACCACCTCCCCCTCGTTTTCGTTCTCTCTTTTGCTTTGCAAATGAGTTTCTCTCTCTCCAGTGGCCTGTCATCTGTAGGTGCTCTGTGGCCCCCAAACCCTGAAATCTTACAGCTTTAAGGCAAACTGTTTGTTTTTACTGTTTTTTTTTTTTGTTTTTTTTTAGTACACGTTTCTTTTTTCCGATTTTTCAAGAGAGGAAATGAACGATGCATGTTCACGCTGGGAAAGCCAGGTATGCCTAATGTTAGCAGAGTTGACTGTATCATTTTTCCCTCCTCTTTTACATTTGTCGTTATCACGATAACTTTTATGCTTTCTGTAGGTCTGTACCAGGATTTACATGCTACAAGCTAGAGAGCTTAAGCCTGACTTTCCGAACCCTCGCCCCGAATCCTTCGCACTAACCCACTGAGCATGTGGAACAAATAGTCTCGAATGGGGTATTTTCTTCCTTGTGAGGTATTGACAGTTGATCTAAAATGTTGCATTTTTTCCCAGGGGCTATTATGGCTTCCCTTCGTAGCGTCTCACCCTCTGGTCTTCTTCTCCGCATGTTGACTGCTGCCTTCTGTGGGGCAGAGTGAAAAACTGAGAGGTTGTTGAGTACAGGGTGTCTAAGAGCTGCTCAGAGGTTGTTTGTTCAACATTTTTATTTAACCTCTGACTAAGTGGCTTGTTAACAGGTAAAGACCGAGTCGTGCCTACACAAGAAATTGAGGCAACCAGAGGCATCGTGCCTTGTGGGTATAATGTTGATGTCTGTTTTCTGTGCATTTTCTCAAACCTATATGACTTTTTCTTCAGTTGAGCACAGGAGAAGATATTTTGAAGAATGTTTCAATTGTTTTTGTTCATATAATTAAAGTCAGTGTGACTGTAACTTTCAATGTATGAAAAAATAGGCATTAAAAAAAAATTCCACCTAGGAAAGCAAACCCAACTGGTTTGGAATGTCATGAGGTTGCATAAATGATGACACAATTTTAATTTTACTGTGGACTATCCCTTTAAGATACTAATTCTTACCTAGGCCACTCACGTTGACATAATTCTGACCCAAACATGCACAACGACTGGTTTATCTGGCCCATTTAAACCCACGGCTGCCCCATGGTTGGTTAACATTGTTTATAACTGTAACAGAGGCGAGGATAGGAGAGAACAATTGGGAGTTCGGGAGGTGGAGGGAAGAAGGTGAGAAAACCAAACAGAAGGAGCCCAACCATCACATTCTGGTCAGGGAGCTGCCGGGAAACAAGCCAAAGAATCCAGAAGGGCAGGGTGTGGGTCCACTTTTGTTCGAACGTAATGTCTTATTGATTCATTTCATCAATGTGTGGTGGTGGAGTCAGTTGTAATGGTGGGCTTGCCAAAAGTAATCATGCTAATTTTTCCTTATTCCTGCCATAGATGTCAATTCAAGTGAGCTTTATTTAATGAAAACTAGGGATGATGTCCGTTAAGACTTCACTACTTTGACCCCAACTTGTTTGCAGAGATATTTCACCCAAAAACGACATTCCTGTTATCATTTACACACCCTCATGTTCCAAATGTCAATTTCTAATGTAAAACACAAAATGAGAAGTGAAAAATGTTTATGCTGCTGTTTTGCATACATTGGAAGCATTATTGTGACCACTTCAGACACCTTAGCCAATCAGAACCTAGCAACCACACAGCATTGTGATAAAAAAAAAAAAACACTCCAAACACCCTAGCAACCACATAAAAACCAAAAAACACTCTGAACGGAGCTTGTCAAGCTCCAAAAAAGCAAGTAGCTTAAAAGCAATCCAAACAACCTGTGTGTTAAAAGTGTTTTGAAGCCATATATGTGACCCTGGACCACAAAACCAGTCATAAGGGTCAATTCTGGGAGGGTGTGAATTATTGCTCATTGCTTTATAATATTATAGGCTCCATTATCATTTTATTTATACTGGTGACTAATAGTAAAATATGTTATATGTAAATATTTTTACCATTTAGAGGACTCATCTGTTTGTCTGGACAGGCTGTATAATGAAACTAATCTGACGCATGGTGAAAAAAGTCAGAATAATTAATTGTCATATATAATAACATATTTTTATATATGACAATCAATATTGGGCCGAGATACAACTATTTTAAAATCTGGATTCTGAGGGTGCAAAAAAATCAAAATACTGAGAAAATCGCCTTTAAAGTTGTCCAAATGAAGTTCTTAGCAATGCATATTAATAATCAAAATTTAAGTTTTGATATATTTACGGTAGGAAATGTACAAAATATTTTCATGGAACATGATCTTTACTTAATATCTTAATGATTTTTGCCATAAAAGAAAAATCTATAATTTTGACCTATACAATGTTTTTTTTGGCTATTGCTAAAAATATACCCCAGCGACTTAAGACTGGTTTTGTGGTCCAGGGTCACATATAAGCTTTGTGTGAGTAGGAGACCAAAAAGTGACTGAATATCTTGTCGTCTGTCCCCAAATGTCATTAACTTTTGCATATATTCACTTGTTCAGTTGCATATAGTCGCATCGTGTTTGACATTGGTGACATAGTTCTTGCAAGTCACTTTGAATATACAGAAGTGGGAATAACATTTAAAAGCTACAGCAGGGTAAATGATGACAGTTTTAATTTTTGGTGAATTATCTCTTTAATTGGTAAAATAAGAAAAAAGAAGAATTAAGAAAGCATTTTTTGCACAAATGATGTGGGGTTGGGTATCTCTATATGTTGCATGCTGTATTCAAACTCATGCCGCCCACATGAGCACCACAGCTGAGTGTGTCAAAGCATTTATGCTCAGCCTCGTCTCCAACAAATTAGTGCATTTCTAATCTAAGAGGTGCGCAGACACGGAAACCTTGGGGCGCTTGTTAAATCTGTGCAATGGTTTGAACATGTGGAGGCTTGAATCTGTATCAAGCAGGGAGGTGAGTGTGCACATGTGTTTATATTTGAGAGAAGCTAGTGTTTTGTTCTCTATTCTCTACATCTCGGCTCTTCTCTCACTGTCTCGGTTATTGCTTTTTCACACCCTTCTCCTCTGGGTTTAAAAGATCTCTGTCGCTCGCTTTCCCCCTCCTCGCTCAAATCCATTCCAGCTGAAACTTGCGTGAATATGCTGTGATCCCCTCTCGCTGTAGGGCTCGAAGTAATACTCCGTCTATCAAAACGGATATCAGAATCACTTCTTATAATGCTTGTAATTGAATTCATACAGATAAAATTTCCACTCCTAACAGCATGGCCTAAGATGGAGATTTGATAACTCAAGCCCCAAGACTACCAGGCTTAGAGTCAGACTGGGCTCATTTCGAAATGACGGGGGAAAAGTGTGTCTGTACGTGTGTGTTTTGGCAGTAGTTTACAATGAGCTGTTTCTTTTACAGACGCAGAACCGCATGAAGTTAATGGCTGATAACTATGAGGATGACCAACTCAAGGCCTCCAATTCTGACCAGACCAATCACAAACCCTCTCCAGATCAGGTGAGTCAATCAGAGATCACCTTACAGAACCACTTTGTACTTTCTTTATCCTTTACTTCTTCAATTGGGTTTAATGTTTGATCATAATTAGAGTTAGTGATTTAAACAAACCCCCAACCCTAACCCTAAGTCCCATGCCATTTATGCTAAGAATATGAATTATACCTTAAATTGTGTAGCCTGATGAGACAAGTTCTATTATTTTTCTATTATTTCTATTATTTAACTTTTACATCACCATAAAACGGGTTAAAAAATCCCAGAACTTACACTGAAACTTACACCTATTTCTTTCTTTCTTTCTTTCTTTCTTTCTTTCTTCTCACTCACTCTATCCGATTTACCCCTAAAGGCTGTATCCTGATTTATAAAAAAGCCATTATAACTAAACATAAACAACAGGAAATTACATATTTCATATCCAATAAGGCACAGCATCATCAGTTCCAATTTGTGTATTATTTCATATTGGGTCACCAAAAAAAAAAAAATGCTCACGTTTTCTCATTCATGAATGTGCACGCACACACACATCCCTGAGTGTTTTTCTTGGAATAGTTCCGGCACACAGGATGATTCTGGAAGATTTAACTGGCTTTGTTCTTTGTTGCTTTTAAATGTTGAATTCCTTTGCCTTAAGCCTCTCTCCTCTGGATGGCTGTCCAACAGGAATTAGTTCATAAGGAGAGAAAGAGGAAAGAATTGACATGATAAAGGATGAATAGTGAGTGAAATTCAAAGAGAAAGGACGGCCTGTTGTATTCTCCTGTCCCAGCTCTCCCAGGAAGCACAAATCCAACTGGTTGTTATGACATGACTTGATGCATTAAACACAGTGTGTCATACCTGTCCGTGGACTCCTGGAGTAATCCAGTTCAAGTGCTACATCCTAATTCACATGCTGAAAGAAACGTATCAATCAACAACACTCCGCCCAGGCCTCGACACATATCCTGCTATTCCCAACTACATACATGTGTGTGTATGTGAGCTCATTGGAACTCTGTCTACACACACATATACACACTCAATCTCCCATGCTCACACAGAAATCTGCTATAAAGCTATCCCAGGGTCTCTCCCCCATCGCAAACCCTTTCATTGTCTTTTCCGATTGTCAAGAAAACATTTAGCTCACATTTTCCTGTGATCTTCATTTCTCACTTAACATATTTCCAACTCAAATAAGAACACCCTCACACATCAACACCTGAGCCCGCTCCAAACCTCCCCGAACACACTGTTATCACCTAAACATGCCGACTACAGAGCTGGGACCGTCAGGGACCTCAGACGGCATTCATTGCAGGTATTTTCCACAGCCATCCAGGACAGATGGGATAGAGGCCACGTGTGTTACTAATTTCAAGCTCATACTGCTATGGTTTCAATTCTTGTTGCAGCACAGCCGCCCCGTTTGTTGGGCGAAACTAGTTGCTTTTAATGCCGTTTCACTTTGGTTCAATGGCTAACTAATCACCCTTAACCCTCTGTTGAGAGATGGAGAAATTAATGGGAGCATAGTGTCTTACTCTTATTTATAACATTCAGGTTTTTTTCACTGCATGGGATAAGCTCACTGCTGCTCCTCACTGAGTGTTTGTCAAAGGGAAAATTGGTCACTTAACATGAAATTTCAGTGCAATAAATGACCTGCTCTCACCCACTAATAACTTCTTTCTTTAATCCCATGCTGCCTTGGATTAAACCTGCACTCATTTTCCACCAATAGGACGATGAGGAGGGCATTTGGGCATAGCCAATCACGTGCCCTCTCCCAGCAATTTTGTTCAGAAGGGTGAGAAATGTATTATTGGGGAATGACACTCTTCTTCTGTATTTCATCATGCGTTAACTGTCTTTGAGTGTGCTTTTTTTTTTTTTCTCCAACACTTTCCAGTTCATCCTTCCATTTCTTTCTTCTTTTGGTCTTTTTTTCCCTCTCTCACTGTTCTCATGTCCTGTGATTTTCTTTTATTCTGTCTGTTTTTTGTCTGCCTCATTTCGGCATGTATTGGTGCTGATTATTTAATTATTTTTTACTTAAAAAAATGGTCAAATATGACTTGCAGATATCATACACACAGTTTGATATCTGCAAGTCATATCCCCAAACACACACACACACACACACAGTTTCCTTTTGTCCCCACAAAAATAGGTCACAGGTCTGTTCTGATTTGGTCTGCAGCAAAGAAAAAT